TTTGGGCAGAGGAAATGAAACCTAGTCATTTACTATGAGATTTATAGTAGACCTGCTATTGCAGGAAGTGGTGAAAGGTTGATTGATAGTTTAAGATGAAACTCCACAGTAAGAAACAGGATGTATGTTTCCCATTTATGCCCAGGTCTCCCCACCCCATACATTTCAGGGTTCTGTTTGCACTTTGTTTTGGCTGTTTCATAAGACTGTGGATCCTTTTTCATTTTCCCCCCTAAACTCAGTCACCAAATGTAAAATAATTGAGGGAATTTTATAGCAGTTTAGCCATGGTAGAGCCATGCACTTTCAGCTGTTACTATTACTCTTTCACAGTAGTTATATATACTGTAATTTGTCAGTGATCTTTAATTTTTAAAAAACTCTCCAAATAGCATATTATCTCCCAGATAGACAAAGAATGAAAACTTTTTTTAAAAAAATTACAAGGTTGAATTACATTTCCAGTAACTGTCTAAGAAAATCTTGTTTGGGTGTAACTATTAAAGCAGAACTTTAGTGTGGTCTGATTGTCAGGTCTCTCACATATCGAAATACATTCTCTGTGTGTGTGTGTGTGTGTGTGTGTGTGTATGGGTGTGTGCACACACGCATGCACACTCATGCCCTGGGTGGGGGGGGGTACATTGTGGCATTTACAGAAAGTTTTATAATATATCATATTCAAAATCACCTCCTCCATCATTTTCTCCCCTCCTACCCTCCCCCAACTCCTGGGATGCAATGCATTCTTAACAGGTAAGGTATTCCTCACTTAAACCTAAAAGGTAAACTATAACTGTGATCAGTAACTCAGCATATGTGTATTGAGTATATCAGGATGTACCCAGCGTTTTTAAGAGTCTGGCTATCTAAAAATGCCTTCTGACAAAGGTTCCAACATGAACTAGCCAGTTTAGTTTTGAATATAACAGTGAAAAACTGCTACCTACCTTGAACGAGCTGCCTTTTGAAGAGGAGCACCATTAACAGAGGTGGATTCTAGAATTTACAACAGGATGCAGATTCAAAGTTGCTCTAATCTCACCAGTAGGTTGACGGAACAAAATGGCTGCTCTGTCATGGCTTAATTTTCCCCCCAAAGGAATACTTAAGTTATCTATATAAAATAATTGAATAACAACAAACTCAACTTTCAGTCCTCAAACTCTTTGGACACGTTTGACACCAGTACTGTTTTATCTTAGCATTTTGTACAGGAAGAGTTCAGAATTCTGCTTCTATAAACAGTTTCTATCAGAACTTTGTTGTTTATCAAGAAACTAGTCAGCTTGAGTTAGTAGAGGTGGGATAATAAGAAATAGAAATGAATCAGTTTAGTGAAGGAGCAAAAGCTGAACATATAATTCTTTTAGCATGTCTTATATGTTTTAACTTAATGTAATGCTAGGGGTAAGAAACAAGCTTTTTCCTGAAGGATGAAAATTCACATCAGTTGGTTGCAGGCAGCAGTTCCTTTTTGGGTCACATGGCTCTTTCTTGCCTGTTGCAATTGACAGTTTTTAGCCACACCATATAGGGGGTTGCTCTCTGAAAAGATTACAGGTGAAGAGCTTTGAAATTCTGTATTTATGCTGTTATAAAAGGTACTTAGGATATAACATTTGTGTAGTAGATAATAATATTTGCAGGTAGTTGCAACTTGAGAATTGACTTTAATATTCACAAATGTATGTATGTATTGTTGCAGATTGAACACAGGCTCCTGTACATGCTGAACAAGCTCTTTACCACTGAGCTATACCCCAACTCAGTACTGGCAAAAAGAATTCAGTTCTTTCCTCCCTTTCTAAATCTCAATAGTTAAAGCATAAATATATACTTCCCTTAATGTTGCTAGGTTACAAATATTAGTCACAGTGCCTTTGCAGAATTTGGTCCTTGCTCCTTTGGAAGATGCTGAGTGGAGCTCCAGTTGGAAAGAAATGCAGAACATGGTCTTAAGGAAGAAAACTTTGTAGAGCTTAGATACTTAAGGGAGACTCTATACAGAGGAGTAGACAGAGCTAGAGTCTCGAGTCTCGGGTTTCTCTTATTAGCGGGAGCCACAGGAGCTTTCTTAACTCTCCAAGATTCTATTTGCTCACCTATAACAAGGGTGAAGAATGGAGCTGATTCAGCAGGAGGTTGTTAGAAACAAGTGCAGAGATGTTTGTGGAGCATCATGTTAGTCAGCTTTCCACTACTGTGACAAAATACCTGAAATAATCAACTTATAAGGAGGAAAAGTTTATTTTGGTTCATGGCTTTAGAAGCTTCAGTTCATGGTGAGTGCATATGACAAAAGAGGCCTGTTTACCTCACAACGGCTGGGAAGCAGGGAGAGAAAAAGAGAGGGAGGAAGGGGAAAAGGGAGGAGGGCCAGTATCCTAATGACCCAGTCAAGAGCAGGCCCCAATGACCTAACTTCCTTCCCCTAGGCTCCACCTCCTAAAGGTTCCTGTGGCAGTAGTGCCACAGGCTGGGGACCAAGTCTTCAATATATGGACCTTTGTGGTCATTTAAGATCCCTTCAAGATTCTTACTAAATGTAGCACACATCATCCTTTGTGTGTTATTAAAAGTGTTTATCATGACTATTAAAAATGAGGTATATGACCACTAAAGTAGAAGCTTTTAACTTCTTTCTAAAACCACAGTTTAACAAGAGGCATTATCCTCTTCCTGAATCTTACCATGCTTTCTGTGTGTCACTACCCAGAGAAGTCCCCTTCCATGAGAAATGTGGGCGACTAGTACCTGGACTGAGGGGGCTCTGCTGGCCCACCAGCTCTGACCAAATCTCTACCACAAAATATGTGGTCCATCACCCTACAGCTGTCTTGAACATGGATGCAAATTATATTGCAGTTATCTTACTCCGTAATGGCACTTGCAAAAATGTCTGGTGCTGATGAAAGTTCGCCCGGGGTTTATCTGCTTAGTGAGTCACCAGTGGACTGCGGCTGACCAAGCCTTGTTCTCCTCTTTACCTCAGCCACCTCCCCTTTTCTGAGCTCTCTGGAAATTCCGTGCCGAGACCCAGGCTTTCCTTGCTTCAGAAAAAGTTGCCCAATGGTGCTGCTGCTGTCCTTGTACATTCACCCTGCTGTACATCCTGCCTACCTTGAGATGGGGCAGTGGTGTTTCCATGCCTGATCCCACTTGAGGGGACGATGGAAGGACAGACTAAAGTTGGCACATCCATGCACAAACTCATTCTGACATTAACGATTGTGAGGAAAAGGTGCACAGGAGCAGGCAGACACATGGATGGAAAATTCTGTCTTTGTGCAGTGCATGTACCCTCACGTCAGCGCTACTGAAATGAAGCCTCGTTTTTCCCAGTACCGTGTGATGGCCACACTTGTGCCTATTAGTTTATCTTGTAAACACAGCCTCATCCAGCTCGCCTCAAAGCCACTAAGTGTGTTGTACAGTCATTTAATTTTCAGAGCGAGGGAAATGTGAAACCTTGTCAGCATGTTTATTTTCATTACCTGCCACCTCTTTTCAATTGTCACATCAGAGTTCCCTCTTTAGAATAGCAAAGGGACAGTCTCTGGAGAACTGCAGTCTGTGTTGTGTTGGTTCTTTTGTAAACAAAAACAAATAAATGTATTCAAGCTAATGAAAACGTTTACCTACCCAATATGATGTAGTGTTACAAATCTAGCAGGCAATTTAAAGGGAAAAAATCCTCTGAAATAATATGAAATGGTTTACTAATTTAGAAAACATTTCATGCTGCTCTCTGATACTGCTTTTTTTTTTATTTGAACATTTAAAAATACTGAGCAGGTACTTATTCACAGTAGGCTTAAAAGTAAAATATGTGATGCAAAGACTTCTCATCAGCATCCCCTCCCCCTGTAAGCTACTGTCTTCCGTCCCTTTCCAAGCATATTGAAAAGTGTACCAGCAAATAGAAGTGAATGTTTCTATATTTGTCCTACATTTTCTTTACACACACACACACAGGAAGCAGCGAGTACACAGGGTATGTCCTTTGTTTTTGCTGTTACACAGGAATTTGGATTTGTCCATGGAGGGCTTCATCCCTGTTCAGCTGAAGATTCTTCCTTTGTGTGGATTTGCCTTCGTCTCATGTCAAGGGTTGTTGGTTGTTTTCAGTTTGGGGATATCATAAACAATGTCACAGTGACTGACAGTGTCACAGTGACTAACCTCAGACCCACATCCTGAAGTACACACATAACACATGTACTTGCTTTCCAGACTCGGGCTTGCTGCGTCAAGGATAGGCACATTTTCAACTTTGAAAGTTTTGGCCAAGTTCTCTTTCTGTTTCAATTTCCCTCCCACAGTGTATGAAAGCCTCTTTCCCTCCATGGTCAGAAATTTGCCGCTCTGATCAATGGAAAACAGACCTCGATATAACTTTAATTTGTATCTCTCTTATTTGAAATTGAACATCATGTGTTTAAGAGTCATTTGTGTTTTCTTTTGTGGGAATTACCTGCTTGGGTTGTCCATCCACTTGTTTGTTGGATTGTTGTAGCCATTTTTAGGAACTCCATTAGGGGGTCTCCTATCACAGACCAGGGGGATTAAGCCCTGGTCTGTGATAGGAGTTGCAAATGTTTTCCCTGGTTTTTGCATCCTTCTTTTGATTTTGCTAATGATGAATGGGTAAATTGGGGGAAGGGTGGGAGGGTAGGAGGGTATTTTATATTTTGTTTTGTTTTGGTTTTTTGCCTTGCAGAAGCTGTTGGGTTTTATTTACTTGAATTTGGCAAGCTGCTTTTTCATGCCTTTTGTGTTTTGAATTGTTAGAGCGCCTCCTCATTGTAAGGCCATAAGGCAAACCTCCCATGTTTCCTCATATGCACTGGTAACTTTTCATTTTACATGTCTACCCTCAATCTATGTACCGTGTGGAGTAGGAATTCAGCCTTGTTATTTTCTTTTGAAGCTCTATACCCTTGCTCCAGGCCAATTAATGAGTATTCCTAATATTTCTTCTTAAAATAATTTTCAAGGTCCAAAAAGTTGACCGCTCTTGCAGAAGCTTTAAGAGAAATCTCCCTCACGAAGGCCCAGCTGGGGTTGGAGCTAGAGGAACTGGAAGCAGCAGCACTTCTGGTCCAGGAGGAAGAGACTTCAGGAAAAATGGTCCAATCCAGTCCTGGCTCCAGTCCTGAGTCCACTGACTCAGAGGTGTCAGCATCAGACAGTGCCACATCATCTAGCAGCGAGGACTCGGCTTCAGAGGGCGAGGAGCCCGAGGGGGACCAGTCAGCACCTGTCACTTCTTTGCGAGGCCCCTTTTTGGAGGAAGGCAGCACCCTGCTTATCAGCAATGGTGGAGTCTGCAGAAACACTGCTGACCAGGGGGCTGAGGTCAGCCAGGGACTGCTACTGGCCTCTTCTTGTGCTCCTGGGGAACGCCGGCCTCTGATCCAGGAGCTTGGGGATCAGCTGAGCACCACACTTCAGGTTTCCGTACCCCACAGCACCACGCTGGGAGGCACAGCAGTATACGGGACAGAGGTGGGGACAGATGCCCAGTGATGGACTTGAGTGGGTTGTTCACCGGAGGAGTTTAAGTCAGATGTGGTTTCATCTGCTGACTTACAGTCTGCATATTCACCGTGTCCTCTTCTTTGTATCTATACAGCATCGTTTTTCACTTTATTGAAAAATAAAAGTGCTATGGTTTTTTTTTCCCAAAGTGTAGCTAATATTTAAAGATGAAAAGAATAGTCCTGCTGCCACACACTCTAGTATGGAGAGCCCATTACTGTTTGCATTTTAGCTTCACTGAGGTGGACCTGACATGTAGGAAAGTGCTCGGAAACAGTGACATGACACCAGGTGAGGCCATTGCCACCCCAAAGTAATGTCCTTCCCCATCATCCCAGGTGCCCGTGGGCCCCTTTGTTATTCTTCCCTTCCAACTGGCCACATGCCACCCTGCTTTCCCCAGGAAGCTGCTAATCTGCTGTGTGCAATACATTAGCATGCATGTCCTAGATAAAATATACAATGTGTACTTTTTTCCCCACTCCATACATGAATCTTGCTTTGTGTTGTTTTTCATTGCTGAGTACTATTTCCTTGAATAGATTTGTTTATTCACCTACTGGTGGGTATTTGAGTTGTTTTCAAGTTTTTGACTGTTACAAATAAAGCTGTTCTGATTATTTGTGTACAATCTTTGTGTGATCATACACTTTAATTTCTCTTCCATAAATATCCAGGAGTGGCCCAGCAAAGCCATATGTAGGTGGACATTTAACATTACCTGTTTGCCCTTGGGTTGACTATACTAGTTTCTCTCCACCATCAGTGAATGAGAGCTCCAGTACTGTGAGTACTGTGCCAGAGGGGCATCTCATTGTGCTTTTAATTTGCATTTCCCTAGGACTTCCGCTGTTGCATCTTTTCAGACACTTACTTGTCATGAATGTATCTTTTTGAAGAGTCTGTTCAAATCTGCTGCCAGTTTGTTTTTTTAAATTCAGGTTGTTTTCTTATTTCTGAGTTTTGAGAGTTCTTTATAAAGTCTGGATGCAAGTCTTCATCATGAGTTGTGTTTTCCTGCTTCTTTTCATGCCCTGTAATCTCTGATCAGATACCAAACTTTGTGAATTTTGCCATGTTGGGTATGTAGTCCTGAATATGTATTCCCACAGTAGATACTGCCTTTGTGTTGAGATGCAGCTAAGTGACTTGAACTGTTTGATTCTTATGGGTCTGGTTTAGTAATTTCTAGAGCAGTGCTTGGTCTGGGTGACTTTCTTCCTCCATGTTGATTGTCCTAAGTGTTCTGGGGAAGTAGGCACTGTTCCCTGTATGAGTGCTGGGCAACATTTCCTCTAATTCCTTCACCTGATCCTGTTAGGCCCCCATTGCTTACTGTTCTCGTGAATGCTACAGGGAGTGTGTGTATGTATGTGTGTTTCTGTCTCTTTTTCTCTCTCTCTCTCTCTCTCCTCCCCCCTCCCCCCACCCCCCCGCCCTGACCCAGACACTTAGGCTCTCTTTGGAACCTGTCCTGTGAACTCCAACTGCCTTCATCTCTGAGCCCTCAGCTTTGTTCCCTGAGCGCCAGAGTTCCTGGCTGTGCTTGGATTGTGCCTTCTGAACAGCAGGGCAGTGGGCAGGACAGTCATAGGGCCACCTTGTTTGTTTTCTGTACCTTGGGATCAGTCTTCCATCACCTAATGTTCAGTGTCTTGAAACCCACTGTTTCATATATTGCTTCTAGTTCTCTTTTTTGGTTGTGCCAGGCCAGAGAGCAACCTGGTCCCATGACTTCATCTTGCCCAGAAGCGTAAGTCAGCATTAGTATTTTAAATATATAATAGAGAAAGAAGGGGAATTGTTTCTGTCACCTAACATTAGTACAGTATTCTTAATGCTCCATAAATGCATGGTGGATGAATGGACAAATGAAGTAAACCGATTTGCTTTGAGAGGAAATGAGAAGAAATCTGATCTGCATTAATCTTACTAGCATTTTTTACTCCAAAAGAGGGTACAATCTCTTTTATTTTGGGTTTATAAAGACTGTAAGAATTTGTACTTGTAACAGAAATTCCAGTTTGTATTAAGATGATAGTTGGGGTGACTATGCCATTTGATATGCATGTTAACTCCTGAACACTGTCAATGTAAATATCAGACTCTGAAATGCCTTTTTCTCAGTGGTGCATTACCTGAAGCCAGTTTGAAAAGCATTATTTGCTACTCCAGTCATTTACTGCTACTAAAACCAAGCAAGGTGAGCAAATCCACTGTTGTTACAAAGTCTAGAGCCATGGAAATTTTCTTCCTTTCATTCATTTCTTTCCTTTCGTAGGAATCTTGACAGGCTCTGCTTCAATGAGACTTTGGAGAAATTCCTTTCCTGAGAGACTGAGCAAATATGATCCTTCTTAGACATCCTCAAACCCAACAAGCTCATTAAACACTCTCATGAGTGTTAAAGGCGTTGTGAGTGAATGCCTTAATTTCAGCCTCATGTCTGTGGCATTTCTTTTACCTTCTCTTTGTTCATGTGAGTTAAAGCTTTGATAATAACATATTTTGTTTAGGATTGGCTGAATACACATACACTTAACCCAAAATAAATGCCAAAATTCTGCTATTTATAATATAACCTTAGGGACCTTCTAAAACCATATAAGTTTCTCAAGAACCTGAGTGTTGGGAGAAAAAAAAGTTTGGGGAAGAACGGTGAGACCACCTCAGTGACTACCTAGTCATAGCTCAGTGGGAAGATTCAAAGCTTTAAGGTTTATAAGACTTTGAATTGAATGCCAGAGCCTCACTCTGATGGTCTATGAGTGGGTATTCCAGCCTTCAAACCTTACCCTTCATCTTGAAAATGGAACTAAAACTATAGTCATAGGCCACCTGCCATTTTGAGAAATGCATTGTTGGGTGATTTTGTCATTGTGTGAATATCATAGGTGTCCCTACACAAACTAAGATGGCTACAATGTCATTAGGTGATATAATTCTTAGGTGACCATTATCATATGTGAGGTATTGTTGATCAAAACATATGCACTGCCTTGCTGTACTTTTATTGCTTATCTTACAGGACTGAGAGACTTTCTGTTCAGGACTTTTTTTTTTTTTTTTTTTTGCAATGCTGGGGTTTGAACTCAGGTGCTACATACACCTTGAGCCACTCCACCAGCCCTTTTTTTGTGATGGATTGTTTTGAAATAGGGTCTCATGAACTATTTTCCAGGGGCTGACTTTGAACCGAGATCCTCCTGATCTGTGCCTCCTGGGTAGCTAGGAATATAGGCATGAGCCACCGGTGCCTGGCTCAAGACACTTCTTAAACTAGAAAGTAGTAAACCAATGTCAGCGTTCATCATTATTGTCTGACTTCCAGGGCTCTATTTAGCTACCTAACAACAGGTCGCTAGGGGAGCCAGCTCTGTGAAATGAGTCAGCCCCGCTAATCGCTTCCGAGACAGGCTAGTGGTCAAAGTCTACACAGTTCTGCAGATTAGATAGAAATATTAATTATATCAATGAATCACAGCACTGCCTTGTCTTCTAGGCTTGCATTATCATTGACCTATTTTTCTATGTTCTGTCTCTCCTCTCCCATTATCCTAGAAGAGTAATGTGGGGCCTTGTTGTGGGCATGGTTGGTGTTGGGTGCTGTAACCAAGTTGGTATCATCTCTCGCTGGCACACGATTAATTTACCAGTGAGACAGGGCTGCTCCCTGCCACATGCTAAATTGTTTGACAGCTGGGGGGCGGTTTTCACACCTGCTAATGAAAAATCCACTTTGGTTGTGTGGATCAAATTCTATTACCAAGAATTAAAGGGAGTAGAGAGAGGATCAAGTTTTTAGTCATAAGATTATAAAATTATTGTAAACAGAGGGGCTGTTGTATATCAATTTGTTTTAAACAGACTACATAGTCAAGAGTGACAAAACAAATACCTCTAAAAGAAATAGGAATAAGATACACCAAAATTCAGAATATGTTAATAATAAAATCTTTTAAGATTCAGGAATCTCCCAGAATAAAATTGTCTGTCATGTAATGTCAGTGTATGTGTGTCAGGTAGTTGCAGTTAAGCTTCATAAACACAGCTCTCTGTTTGTTCAGGGGTCTCCATTTAAGCAAATCAGAGATTGCAAATGTCTCCTTACCTTCAGTCCATCTAAATCCTGATGGAGGTTCTGTTCATGATGCTTCTTTCCCAGCCTGTTTTCTGAGTGTGTTATATATAGTTTCAGCCCATAGCAAATGAAGGAAGCATTGATTAGACTTGATTTAAGGCAGCGAGTGATAAATGCAGCTGGGAAATTGATTCATGTCTCTCAAGTGACTGGGGCGCCACCATCCACAGTTGACACAACTCCTGTCTCAAGGCTGGAGAAAACAAACAGGGAAACACATGTCAACCAGATAAATGACTTTGCTGTTTTCCGCTCTCCATGGAGGCCATTTGTTTCTGAGATAAGGAAGACTGCTCTCCAAAGTCATGAAAAGATAAGCTGGAGGAAAAAGGGTGGCTGTGGAGTTGGATGCCTAAGCACTCAGAAAACAACAGCCACCACAGAAGAAAGGATTTACCTCCCTGAAGGATGGTGCTGCCTTCCTCTTAAACATGCTGGGAGCAGCACTGTACAGTGCTCTGTCTTTGATTTTGTGTTCGTGCATTGGTGGTGCTGGGGATTGAGCTCAGGGCAAGCACTCTACCACTTGAGCCATACTCCCAGTCCTTTTGCTTTTCTTTTTCAGATAAGGTCTTGTGCTTTTACCCAAGACCTCCATCCTCCTACCTCTTCCCCCTAGTAGCTGGGATTCCAGGTGTGATCCTCTATGTCTGGCTGTCTTCAGTATTTTCAGTGTTTTCTGTGGCACACCATTGTCTTTGAAGCCATGTCCCGGGAGATGTCCTGACTACTTTTGTAGCGTTGAGTATTCAGACTAGCATCCACAAGAACAACAAAGTGGCGGGCTTATGGTTCCTTTGGCCAGGGCAGCTGACCTGAATCACTGATGCTTCCAGCACTTCTGTGGAGCCTCACCCCACAGTGCATGGTTGGATGTTGGCTTTATTTAGGTTTTGCAGGCTTTGTGTTTTTCCACCTGGTAGGTTGCTCCTCCAGGGTGTTTGCCCCTCCCATCCTGGTAGTTTGCACATTTTCATTTTACCCAGACTTCAAGGCCCCCTTCAATGCCACTTCCCACAGATGGTCACCGTGCTTTCCTCCAGGCTGGAAATAATTTCCCTCCTCTGACTTCGTAGAATAATTTCTAACAGTTTCAAAGTACTTATTGCTCTCTGCTGGGAACATACACCAGAAAGCTGTGTCTCCTGTCCCCTTGAGAGCACGAATTTCAATGTGTGTTTTAACTGTGACTCTCACACAGCACTTCACAGTGCCCTGTCCTAGAAAACTTCCAGATGACTCTTGAAGAAAGAAAAACCAAAACAAACTGGACAGCTTAGCGGCTTGCGTGAAACTCAGCCTCAGACCCTACCTTGCTCTTTATTATCAAGTAGTCCCCACCAAGCATCAGAGG